ATTTTTTTTTTCAGTGTTTTGGCACTGCTTATCAAGAGGTGGGAAATGTGAACAATTTCATGTACAGCACTACCCTGTTGACTTAAGAACACTGTGTAAAAAAAATCAATATTAAATGGATCTTCCTTTTTATGAGGAAAAAGTGAATGCTCTTGTGGTGCCAAGTGTCTTAGGGATTCTTTCCTGAATCAGTATATTAGTTCATTTTCGGAGAGCCAAGCAGAAAATACAATAATTGTCCTCCGAGGAGCTGCCTCAAAAAGCTTAATGGTTTATTTTGAAATGGAGATTTGACACAAATCACAGAAGGCCCTCATCCTGGCCATTTTTTGTGCAGATGTAACTTTGCACAATGAGCATGTGTGCATTTTAAACATATTATCATCTGCACACACTGCAGGAGATCAAGAAGACTTATTGAACTTTCTATCTAAGCCTCTCAGCTGCTTTATAAACATTCATAAAGTAAGCCTCACTTTCTTCCTGGTTTTATCCCTTTTTACAGATAGAGATACTGCCAACTTGAAACACTGTTAGTTTAAAAAGAAAAGAATTAAAAGTTGTTTCAGGTTTTATGCCTGGCATAGAGACAACCTGTCAGTTTTTGTGGTTTTAATAATTATGGTTTGCTATTTTAAAAAATCTATGTATATCCTCGTTTGCTGTGTGGAAAATCCCACACAAACAAAAGGAAAAATGACTAGCTGATTGACTATATCAGGGAATAATGAACCTGTCTGTATGCAGAGGACTGTCTAATGTGAATAGTAAGCAAGATGAAAGACCAAAGAAAAATAATTTTCTCTATGTTTGGTAGGTTCTTTATGCAGTAGTAGTAGCACCTAAAGATGCGGGTAGACATCTAGCAGTATTTTCAAAACAACTTAAATGCTTAATTCCCATTGGTCTTGGTATCTTGGGACATTTGAAAATGTTACTAGTTCCAATGGGAGTTTGTCACCTAGGCTATTCTAAAAATCTTACTAGGCACTAACTAAATGTCTTTTAAAAACTGGCCTCTTAGGCAGGGCTACTCAACATGTGGCCTGTGGGTGCAGTTTGCAGCCCGAAATGCAGTTTGTGTTTACACAGGGCTCAACATGTGGCCCACAGGTGGTAGCCAAAACAAAAAAGTAGTCCATATAATGGTCTCCTATTGATACGTGTTTTAGTAGTTAAATTCCTGGACTGTCTTTGCTCATTAAAATTGCTATCATATGGGTGGAAATTGGGTAAATATTGCATTTTATTAATATCAGCAGAACTGACTTAAATGGGGCCTGTGTGTTGAGTAGTCTTGCCTTAATCTTTGTATTCATGCCTATCAGTGTGAAAGAAGCTATTTGTATATATTTGCATATATATTTGCATGTATATGCAACCACACTTAAGTTGCGGTCCTCAGCATGTGCTGTGAGTATCATTGTGGCTCACTGGGGCTTTCAAAGTTGAGTAGCCCTGGTCTAAGGGTTGATGTTTCAGACTCTCTGGCTTGCTTGAGGAACTGAAGAGTCGTTGGAAAACTGTTGTACCACTTTCCCTTGAATGACTGCTGTTCTGTACATAGTTTAAATTCTCTGACCAGGGCTGGCCTTACCATGAGGCGAACTGAGGCGACCGCCTCAGACTGTGGGGGACGGGGCCCCACTAGGACTCAGAGTGTAGAAAATTATGTCTGCTTCTGGTGCATATGTATTCTCTCTGCTCTAGATGCACAGAGATGGTAAAGTGCTGTGCTGGAGTAAGGAGGGCAGAATTGAGACCTTTCAAAGTTTTGACCCAAGTGAGAGGGCATGGGGGCATCATTTGAGCTCTGTGCCTCAGGTGCCAAAATGTTGTGGGCTGGCCCTGTCTCTGACATCAAACTGCATCCTCCTCTTCTCTGTCGCATGTCATCTACTTGGAAATAATCCATAAGGATAAGGGAGCCCATTTTCCAACAGCCTGAAGTATGTGCGTTCACCTGCATTTGTGAATGCATATTTGTTCATTGAGCATGTTAAATGGGTAATTGTGCACACGGTTATCCAGTTGATTCTTTTACATGCAAATATGGGTGCATAAGCATAAACCGTAGCTTCGATTTTTTTGAAAATTTCACTCAAATTTGATTCATGCATTGTGCGTATTAAAGCAGTTCAGTGCAGTTGCCGATTCTTTCTCCTCTTGTTTTAGCTGCATATGGTCATCTGAATTCTAATCCCATCCAAGGGGAAATTTCATCAGCTAACACCTTTAAGCTGTTCATGTATCACAGCTTCCATGTTACCTCCATCCTTTTTCCATCTTAGCATCTGGCTGTTTTTCTTGCGGCTGCTGGAAGTGGCAGCTGCAGCAGAACAGCTTGTGAGTTCACCCATTAAATATATGTGCTGACTTCAGCATGAGTGAAATTTTCCTTACCCTTCCAGGGACTGGTGCTAAACTATTTCCAAAACTGTTTTTTCCACATAAAATGTTAGATTGAAATGTGTTTATGGGAAAAAGTCTGCCTCTTAATTGCATGGCCTGGAACTCTTGAAAAATCTTGGCTGGGAGTTCAAATGTATCACTTTATTTATTTTTTATTTAATAAAACTGTATAAACTACATGATGATTTTTCCTGGGTCTTTAATGGGTGTTTCTTCCAAGTTTCGCTGGAGAAAAAGCTGTGTGGAATGCACACTGTGGGCTTTGGGATTTCTCCCCTCTCCCCATTTTTCTCCCAACAGTTTTGCACTCTAAGAAGGCAAAATATTGTTAGGTGTTTTAACTTTGCAGATATAGTAATAGTACAGTGAGTTTTATCCTGCCAGTTTGCAAAGGATCAATAATCTAGGGATGTAAAATCCCATTTAATCAGTGAACTGGTTAAATGTTACATTGAGTTAACCACTGAAACTGTGATGGAGGGACTGTGGTGTGCCATGGGGAGCCCAGCCAGCCTGGAGTGGCTCCCTGCTGGGTGGGGGAGCTGCTCCAGCCCAGTTGGGCTGATGGTTAACTGAATAACTGGTAAACCACTGACATTCCTATAGTGATCTCCCTGCTGTGATCATGTACTTCTTATCTGTTGGTAACAAACAAAATCGAAGCTGGATTCCTTAGACATAGTCTGTAGCTCTCCAGGCTCCAGAGACCACTGGTTGGAAACCACTGCTCTTTAGTAAGCTCAACTGTACAAAGTGAAATGTTCAGACCAGTCCACTTAGGAGGCATAGAAGAAGTCTGTTTGAATCATGTGTAGCAATATTATGAATTGCAAAAATACTGTACAACAGGTCTGAACATATGAAGCAATAACTGAACTCTGCAGTGCTTTCTGAGTATTTACTCTAGTCAACTGGACTTGTTTCTAGGTCTGGCTATAGGAGTCAGATACAGATTACTATTTATAGAATCTGTGTGCGTGGAACTATATTAAAGGGCACAGTGATACGATGAGCCGATTTTTATACTGGTGTAAGTCAGGGGCAGCTCCAGGGAGATCAGTAGTGTAAGCCCCGTGTCAGTGAGAGGATAATCAGGGCCGATATTACTATTCGTGGTCATGCTAATTCTGTTTCTTTACAGCCCCCAATTAGCAGTTTCCACTCCCCCTAGGAGTGGTTCTCAACTTGTGTGTTACTTGTGCTTCAGTCAGCACACAGCTGCAGTCCATGTTTCATCCTCAGGGCCATACAGGTTGTGTGCATGTATGTGTATAATATATATTTTGTGTGGCTGCAGCCACATAACACACAGAGCGGCAGGTGTGGGCTCACAACGGTAAATAGATTGAGAACCACTGCTCTAGAGGGAACCCCAGCTGTGTTTTGTGCCACCATGACAACAATGTAACATTTTTCCTTCCAGATTTGTGAGGTGATGATGCTCCTGGCAGTGAAGCTAATTACATCGGCATCACTGACGCCTCTGTCTCTGTGTTTAGATGCTGTACTGACAGTTCACAGTAACTGGCTTTGATAGAGACATTACTGATGAATTTATATTTCCCCTCTGGCACTAGATTTTGATATGATGCATTTTTACTTGGTGACAAACACTCCCTAAATAAACATCCTTTTCTCTTTATCCCTTTGTAGATGTCGCTCCTATGAAGATTGCTGTGGTTCAAGATGCTGCGTAAGAGCCCTTTCAATCCAGCGCCTCTGGTATTTTTGGTAGGTTAGGACTTTTTCTTTTCCAAATGTGGACCATATAGTTGCCTTCATTTTAAGAAAGTGCTATAAACCAGGGGTTCCCAAACTTTTTGACACAGGGACCAGTAAATCCATTCACAAACTTTTGGAGGACTGGTAATGGTCATTCGCATATTTACATATTCATTAATCAAATGACGAATATTCAAATAAGTTGTTTCTGGTCCTCCCCAAGCCCCCAGTGCCAGCTTTAGCAAAGGTTTTGATATGGTCACCCACAATAGTCGAGTCAAGGAATATGGATTGGATAAATGGACTGTAAGACAGGCAGAAAGCTGGTTAGACCAGGGTTTCCCAAACTTTTTACTTTATTTGGAACCCTTTTTTTTCAGTACTGTTTTTTGCAGCCCAAAAATATAAACACATAAAAAACAATACAGGGCCGCCAACAGAGAGATGCAAAGGGGGCAGCTACTATGGGGCCTGACAATTTAAAAGGAACCAGGGCTCCCAGCTGCTTCTGCCTTGACAGTGGCAGCAACTGGAGCCCTGAACCCTTTACAATTTAAATTGCCACTGGGGCCCCCAATAGTACATGCCTGCAGCTTTTGTGGTGCTGAAAGGCTGGCTGGGGGGAAGCAAGACCCTGATTCTGCCCTTTCTGCCCAAAGCCCCAGGCTCAGCTGTCCTCAGGATCTTGGCGAAGACTCTTGTCGGCCATGTATATGCATATGTTCAGTGTATATATATATATATATATATATATGTGGATGTATACAGGCTGAGATTTTCAAAGCTGTGTAGGAGATGCACTGTCTCCATTTAAATGAATGTGATATCTGCATTTGAATCCCCAAGACAACTTTGCCCATCTCTGACATTATGTTCAGGATAAACATTGTCTGGAACAGAGCTGGAAGATAATTGATTAATGTTGGCTTAGTGCTATAGGACCAAATTCTGTTCCCATTTACACCCCATTTAAAATTTGGCCCATTGCACCCAGTGCTTCACATGACCACACAACTTTTGTAACTTCAACCTTGTTTTTCATCAGTCATTAGGGAGCTCTGCAGAGCAAACCTACTTAGCATCTGGGCTAAGAGCTAAATATTTGTGTTATTCAACAGTGACCCCTCTGGTCAGCTTAAGAAAAGGCACTGCTGTCCTCCAAAGAAATCCCCTCTGATACATGTTGCCCCAAAGACTGGGCAGGTGGCAGAAGGACATAGATCATATATGTACATCGATATTATTTGGAATTCTGTGCCAAGGAAATCTTACATGAAGTAAAGAGCTGGTAGGAGCTAATAAAAGAAAAATCAAAAAATAAAAGAAAATTAAATGGAAAACTGTGTCAGTGAACTTTAGATAAATAACAACTCTCCTAGGAACAAAATCTCTTCAGTCACTATACAGATATTAACTATGTGCTGCCATACACAGGTATCTTACCTTATGCAGTCCTGCTTTCAAAGATAATATTTTCAGAAAATCCTCTTAGCCTATGGGAGCTGATGGTGAGAGGGGAATGATCTTGGTTTCACTTATGTATGAATCTTTGAATTTCCTAGTTTTCTGGCACCCTGCTCTGTAGATAGATGCCATCTCCAAGTTTGAATTTTCTTCCTCCTTTTGTTCAGGTTCCTTCTGATGATGGGTGTTCTCTTCTGCTGCGGAGCTGGTTTCTTCATCCGAAGGCGGATGTACCCTCCACCACTTGTAGAAGAACCTACTTTTAATGTATCCTACACCAGACAGCCAGCCAACACTGCAGCAGGTCAAAGACTTCTTAAATACTAGTCTGTCTGATTTCTTCTGTGTCCATAGGAAACATTTAAAAATTGTGCAGTTTTTAGCTAGGACTAGCTGTTGAACTAGTTTAGTTTACCACATTGTGACATGGGTTCAAATTTGGCTTCAAGTATGTTGCACCATTTGTGAATGTACACCCAGTACTGAGATCCAGTAGGAGATGAAAACGGCCATTCTGGGTCAGACCAGTGGTCCATCTAGCCTAGTATCCTGTCTTCTGACAGTGGCCAGGTACTAGTCAGAGGCATGAACAAAACAGGCAATCTCAGTGCTCTCTATTCTCTTTCAAAAGAATATTTGCATTTCTTTTATTAATCCCTTCTAGAGAGTTCTTCCCCCAGGAATTTATCTCTGTGAATGCAAAACAAAGTAGGAAAATGGTTAATCACGTTGTGATATACACAGAGCATTAGGCAATGCCACATTAGTAATGATGTTCCCCTTTTATATGAATAATAAGGTACAGTTTCCTATCATTAGTCCTGTATACTAGGAAATGCCTTTGCCACAATGGAACAACCAAGCATTTTCCTTCTGCAACACTACCTAACTGTGGATTTTCCATTTTTGTTTTGCTCTCCATACTATGGAATACTGCTTTAAAAGTGAAGTGCCATTCTTTTCTTATCCCGTCTGAGCATTCTTCAGTTGTCAAACAATGATTTTGAGGAGGTCTGCAGGATCTGTGTGGTAGTGGAACTGCTGGCCCCTCCATTCCTCCCAGCCTACCCATATACTATCCCCTGAACAGTCCCACCCAGAGAGCCCTCCAGAAAGCAGGCATGCCTTGTGGGACTTTTGGAATCCTGTCCCCTCCAGTTATGGCAGGGGGTGGGCAATAGGCTATCCTTAGGCTGGATGCAGTACTCCAGGGTTAGCCCCTGCTGGCCCACCAGTGCTTTATTTATCTGTGTGTCTGCCGGTACAGTCATTTTCTGCTCCCATTGGCCACGGATTACTGTTGCTGGCCAGTGGGAGCTGCGGGAAATGGTGTCCTGATCCATGCTGCTTCCTGCAGCTGCCATTGTCCAAAAACGGTGATCTGTAGACAACAGGAGCTGCAGCTCCTGTGACCTGCCAGGGGTTAACCCTCACAAACTGTCTCTGGCTTATTGCCCACCACTGAGTGATGGGATTCTCTTTAGCTGCAGATGATCTGCATTGGTAGCTAAGTGTACACCCACACATACCTGTTATACTCTGGCTGCCACAATGAAGACATTCCTATATATACCCTGCTCTCTGCACACACCTCTCCGTATCCATGAGCATCAACACACACCCTGAAAAGATTTTAACTCCCTCCCTTCCCCACCCATAGTACAGCTACACTGTAGCTGTGGTGTGAATGGCTGCTCATGTAGACATACCCATGCTATCTGGTCTCTAGCTAGCTCAAAACAGCAGTGGGGATGGACTTCATGTTAGCTGCAAAAGCAGGTCTGTACCCTGGAAGGTCAGTCATATTTGTGCACCCCCAAGCTGAAGACCGCACTCTTTGCTTCAGTCTTCATGGATGAGGACGTTAGGGAGATTCCCAAATCTGCACCATCCTTTGTGGGTGATGAATCTGAGGAACTGTCCCAGATTGAAGTGTCATTAGAGGAGGTTTTGGAACAAATAGAAAAACTTAATGTCAGCAAATCTCCGGGACCGGATGGCATTCATCTAAGGGTTCTAAAAGAACTCAAATGGGAAATTGCTGAACTATTATCTGTGGTTTGTAACCTATCTTTTAAATCGGCTTCTGTACTTAATGACTGGAAGGTAGCTAACGTGACACCAATATTTAAAAAGGGCTCTAGACGCGATCCTGGCAATTACAGACCGGTAAGTTTAACTTCAGTACCAGGCAAATTAGTCGAAATAATAGTAAAGACTAAAATTGTGAGGCATATAGAAGAACATAATTTGTTGGACAAAAGTCAGCATGGTTTCTGTAAAGGGAAATCATGTCTTACTA